CAATCACGCTCTACAATGTTTGCGCGATCGCATTCGACTGCTGGCTGACTCTCGAAAAGCCACTCGGCATACTTCGACGCCGGAAGCACATCGCGAAGGTGATGATCATCTCCATATGGCTGTTCCCGCTAGCTTTCTGGTCCATAACCATTGTAGTGCTGCGTGTGTTCAGCGGCGACTTGGTTTCTTCTGCGCACTCATGCAACGTCAACTGGAAACCGAAATTTCTTGTCTTCATCGTCATGTCCGTTCTGTTCTACTTGCCGGTACTGATGCTGATCTACATTTTCATCAGAATTATCTTACTGATCAACACTCACCTGATCTTCCTCAATGAACATTCCAACCAGTGTACTAGCGACTTCTACGCTTTCATGAAGCCATCAGCCAATAATTGCCGTTGCGCTAAGTGGATGTACGCCAAAAAGACGATCGAGCTCGAATCAACACCGTTTAAGCAACAGCTACTGCCGGTCGACTCGACCGCCGGAAAGGCGAAGTTCGAAATTTGTTGCACTGACGACGAAGAACTAGTTGACAGTCAAGAAAATGCTTCCTCGGCAGTGACTGCGAACTCACCTCGCGACGTCATCACTCAATCGCGAAGTAGTGGCTTCGTCGGTTCAGAACAGTTGCGACAGCAGAAAAATAGACAGTCGTTCTCTAAGAACAATCAAAGCCGAAACACAAACTGGCATCTGAAATGCCCGCTCCGTCAGAAGTGTCACAGGGGAGGCTCGTATTTGCATAAAAATCCCAGCAGTGATTCACTTAGAAACATTAACATGAGAAACAAGCGCAGCTACAGCTGTGTGGAACTAACTCATTTACGACAGTCGATTCCGTCGAAATGCAACAACATACTGCTGTCGTATAAGGAGAGTGTTACGGCTTTGTCAGAGTTTCTGAATAGAAAAATTAAGTGTCAGATGAAAGCAACCCGAGCGGTCGGTGTTATTCTACTCATCTTCCTTCTCACATGGCTTCCTATTTTGATCGTGTGGCCACTGAAAGTCTACTGCAACGATTGCATATCAAACAGTGTTTTTCGCTGGGCGACGTGGATGAATTATATCAACTCTGCCATTAATCCGTTGATATATTCGTGGAACTGTCCTCGCTTTCAGAGAGTGTTTAAGGAGAAAATCTGCACCAAGATAAAATGCCTATGAGAAAAGTCAGCGCGAATGCCTTAAAAGCAAATATCATCATCATGCGTGAACAAGTGACCAAAATTTCTTTCGCTGTTATGTTTGCCTTCTTGAATATGATACGCTGAATCTAATGGCTTAAACCTCTGCGTTGCTTCTGCTGGAGGGTTGCAGCTTCAGCACTGTCAATAATTCAAGTCATCGTTCTTTCTAATAAAGATATTATAACAAGATCAGTGTCGAAAAACGGAGAAAAACACGTTAACGTAGAATAATGAGGCTCTTCGCCTACGCAAGTCAAGCTGCTACATATTACGAAATTATTTTGAAGTTTCTGGCTTCTGGCAATGTCTGACAAGAGTATAAATAACCGAATTCGAACAACTCCCACTGAATAAAGTTGTCGTCATAAAGATCGTTTTGTCATCAATATTTTCAGAACTTCTGATCGTCTAATTTTATTTTACTTAGTACACTTAGACAGCTCGTTGCTTATTGTATTTACTGATTTAGCCACACTGCTGAATGATAGTAAGCTACTATATGGTAGGACTCAGAAATTACTCAAGGAGCTAAAGTACACAGCTTCACAGTTACCTCATACTGGAGCGTCATTATATCTTTATATTCTTAAGAATTCAACTCGTTATCTTTTACCTCACTGACTGATTTGAAACATATTCTGAATTAAAATTTCTTCTCATGGAATAAAAAATTTGCTCCTCGATTGTGTGGCGAAAGAGCGAGTCAGATTACTCTCATCGAATTTATGGCGCGCAGGAATGGATCAACTACATTATCACTATGCCCATTTATGACCTAGCTAATGACCAAGTGCTACAATGTTGCACCCGCTGTTAACCTTACTTGAGGATCGCCTCATAAGAAAATTCGATTCCCTAGCATACATTCTGTGCAGTGTCTTAAATTTGAAACAAATTCTCATACTCATACCTCCGTTAGTACGCATTTTTACTTTGCCTGCGGAAATCTGTTTCGTTTGTTTGGTCTCGAAGTCGAGCGTTAAGCATCCGCAGAATGTCTGCTGTTCGTGGCATTAAGTGTGCTGGCAGTACACGATAAATTCCTCTATAATTTCAGTGTCTGTCTCATTGAAAGGGTGATTTTTGGTCAGGAGCAGATCAGTTTCTAAGTTCAGTGCCTTTTGCAAAATCTGTAGTTATTTTTAGCATAAATGAAATCAGCAAGCAAAATTTATGAACCAGGACCAGCGGCTTTTGCCCAGTTTCGGCTGCTACTTCAGCTAGCAAGAGTTAAAGACAGAGAAAGTAGCTTTCCTTTACTAAGGCGCAAAAGTTGTTGCATCACTTCGTTGCTGGTCTAAATTGTCGAAGTAACAAAAGTAAAGCCAAACGCCTGTGCTACGCTTCAAGAAAGACAAGAAAAGTTTTCTATCATTATTGGAAACATCAATGCTAAGAAATGATCAGAAACTAGCCGGTGAAATGGAATAGAGAAACACTCTCAGGTGCATTAGCGGACGATTTTCTTAGTTCTAAAGTAAACTGAGGTAAAACTGTGTGCAGACCAAATATCAGTTTGTTAGTTCAAAAAGCTGATAATCACTCTACGAGAACAATTCAATACAAGTGAGGTTGTTTGGATAAACAGGCAAGCATGGAAGAAGGATCAGCGTTGCCGCAGTCAAACGTATATCATCAGCAACAGTGGCATATGCCACATCCTTAGGCAAATTTTCTTTCGATGATGATATGAATCTTCACAGCCGGTGACCGGCAGTCTTATATATACAAGCGCTGGGTTGAACTGCTCCTGCTCTATAGTCATAGGCATTGCTTGGCCATCAGGCAGAAGTTTTCAAAACGATACTAAAGTAGAAAACTTGACCGAGAATTAACCCGTTATAATGGTTTATTAGTAAACTGTTGGTTTTCGATGCCGCAGGTAAAAATAACGAATTCCTGACTGCTCTCTGGAATTTTCACGGCGTAGTTGCACCCCTCCTTGTTCTAACAGCCTACAGAAGGTTAAGCACGCAACGGCTCCGTTGTACGCTAACACCTGAAGTGTATGGGCAACAAAACGGCACTACTTTATCGACTTGACCAAAAACACGTTGTTGCACCGCCCCCATGTACGTACGTGCTACTCGCCGTGTAAATCCAGAGAAGTGACGAGAGACTGTTATTCTTACTGTCGGTATCGCAGACTTTCGGTTTTCCAGTCGACCGTTACGTGACATCATTCATCATTGGTACTCGAGCAT